TTGCCTCCTGAAACCCCGCCCCCTTCACCAAAATGATTGTGCATAGCCTTTAGGAGGCTTCCAAAGTGCTCCTGGGGGCTGGGTAGGGTAAAAATGAACAAAAGATGGGGCATTTTTGTTCGTTTCCCCGCCCAGCCCCCAGGGCACTCTATATCTTGGTGCATCTTATACTCTGGTGCATCTTATACTCCGAAAAATATGGTAAATCACACAAATAAATCCAACCAATCAGCAATCAAATCACCAGCCAATGCTGGACAAAGCCTACCCAGACATTGTCTCTAACAAGAATTGTAAGTCTAGGAGGAACCCAAATTGTGGATCCTTTGCAGGGAGTGAGGTGTGTGATCCCATCTATTCTTAGCAATTAGCAAGTCCATCTTACAGCATTTCATCTGTGCTTGTACCTCTCCACACACCAAGTTAGATTTTGTTTAACCTAGCCACAATACTCAAGGTGGAATTTGACTAATGCAGAATCAAATGGAATTGTTCTCATGATTTTAAAAAAAACCATTGCTTTTACTGATTAAGCATAGTTACTTTAACTATCATTGAAGCCAATTGCATTTGAAGGTTGGGTTAATACAATTTGCTTAATTAGGTCAACCATTTTGGGGGATTTGCACACTACACTAACTAAAAGAGCTGGGTTCACATAACACAAAATCTAACCAGGTTAAGATTAACCATGCTGAGGATGTTTTAGGAATACAGTGTTTAGATATATAAGAGCTCTGGTTAAGCATGCCATGTGAACACAACTGATGAGTGTTTGCTTAGAAATTGCCTCAGGTTCCATCATGCAAAAATAGTGAGGGATACCTAAAATAAACAGTCTCTGGTGATAATTTTAAACTTACCTCTCCCACACTGCCGGAGAGGAAAGAGAAGGAGAACAATAAACACGAATTAAATGAAACCTGTAATTGGGAAACTGATAGTAATTACTAATTTGCCAGAAAACATAGCAAGTATCCCAAATGGCATAAGAGCATTGCAATGTTTGAGCTTAGACTCCACAAACATTTTACCAAAACTGTTCAGAATTATTCAAAATATTTCCAAGTTATTAACTACTTGGAAATATTTCACCTATTCTATTATACTTCAATCGTTTTAATTGGTTGTTTACAGAAAGAGGTGCTAATGGGGGAAGGTTTATGTTGCAGCCTCAACGCCACTGACAGAACAAGAGGCAAAGATATATAACTAATCTACTCTTCGTGCTACTTTTAAAAATACGAATCAAATTATTAAACAGCCTCGTACAGGACAGTCCTATTCCTCCACTGTGCACGATGCCCTAAGAATAAGTCTCATGAATGAAACAGGACTTGCATTTGAATAAAAACAGACAGGAATGTATTCTTAGCCATTCTTTTGGTTTGTTTCTGTGCACGGTTATGGGAGTTGGGTCAGGGATTTTAATCCAATTTCTACAGTGACACAGGCTGTTTTAAAAGGGCATTTAAAGGCACGGTGGCCATATGGATACCTTCCTTGTCCAAGAAGGCAATAAGCAGCCATTTGTCTGGCCTCTATCCAAGGCTATCTACAGCTCCTCCAATGAATTGGATTGCTTTCAGGGTGTCAAAAGGGGGACAGTTTCTGTGTCGCCCTCCCTGCTAGCTGCAAAATCTCAAAAGAAGACGCCTGGATCTGGCGCCCTCTGGAGAAGGCATCCGGAGAGGGCCCCAAGAGGGCTTCTTCTGTGTTAGTACTTAGGGATGTTTTGCCCTCTCCTCCCAGCCTCCTCTCAACTGGGGTACCCTCCTTCCCCTTCTTCTGAATCCTGCCAGCGCTCTTTCCTCACCGAGAGCCTCGGGTTGCGTGTGCACTCTCTTCGGCCTGAGCCTTCTTAGGCTGCCCTTCCTGTTCACCCCTGGATAAAGCGCCAGGGATCTGGGAACAGGATACGCCAATCGGCAGGATATACACTTATAGCCGCAGTCAGCACAATGCTGGGGGGGAGAGAGAGTGGAGCGGGGGGGGGGGAACTGCCAGCCCAGGCAAACTGCTCTCTGGAGGGGGGTCTTTGCATGCAGACAACACCACTCCATCGCCGTCTTCGGGAAGCTCTCCCCCAATCTCTCCCTGCAGCTAGTCTTTTTCCCCCTCTTTCTCCCTCATTTTTTTTTTTACGAAAGGTGTGGCAGCCACACGTGAATGCTGATCTAGCTGAGCAGGGAGCTGTGTCCCATCCCGTGGTCCCAAGCCCCATTGGAGTCCTACATGAGATACGGAGGGAAAGGGGAAAAGGCCTGGGCTGGCGCAGATCCCTTCGGCCATCCGTTTCCTGTCTTTGCAGTGACAACCCATCGGGATAACATTCTTCTTCATAGTTTCCCCCACCCTTGACACCACACTCCCCTGGCCCCATCCTCTCTCTCTCTCTCTCTCTCAAGTGACAGGCTCTCGGAAATAAATCGCCAGGTTTTGAGACCTAGACGTTCCTAATTAGGGGCTCTTAAAGAGGCAGTGATTAATGTGAGTCCTGACTAAGGCCAGGGCAAAGACGTGCCTAAGCAGTTGGAAGTAAAAGCAACAGCCGCTGAGAGGCACTCTGTCTCTGAAAGGGCCGGGTGTTTGACAGCCCTCTTAAAGGGGCAGCAGAGCACTCTGATTCGGCCTCCAAGGGATGCTGGTTTGTTTGTGGCTCCTCCATGGGTTTTTTTTTTTTTGGGGGGGGGGAGGACATTATTTCCCTCACACCCATTCCTTGCTCCTTACCCATTAGGAAATATCAATATGGGTTGTTGTTGCTTTCTTAGCTCCTCCCACACACCCAGAAGGGGAAAAATTGCCATCATAGAGGATTGTTTCTGAAAATCCACATGTGTCTTTTCAGTTTACAGCGCTTTTGTTCAAGGGAAAATCCATTTGAAAGCAGCGCCATAGAAGAAAAATACGTTATGGAGAACCAGATACAAAAAGCAGATGGCTGCCCAGGAGGAACCAAAGATCCCTGGGAAAGATTTCTGTGAATTCTCTTAGGTGCGTCTACCAACATGGCTTTTGCTAATCAGCATAAAAATTGGATATCCTCCTATGCATTGTGGGCAACCTGCAGGAGAATCAGATACACAAAATGTTCTTTAAAATAATGTGATTTTAGGGCTTGGAATATATGGAATCAATGTGCACCTCTAATTACATCTATATATGTGTGCACATAGATATGTTTTGCTGTTGGACACGCTTGTGTCTGTCATATTGTGTTAAATAGTTTGTCTATGTCCTGAAGCAACATAAAAATATCTGCTCAGGCACTATCAATAAACATTTAAATGAATATTTATGAAATATCTACAACAGGGACATATGAGGCAATTAAGTAAGTATAGTCCCTATACAGAGAGTCTTCAAGTGACAACATAAATTTAGTGACGGTTTGAAGTTACAGCAGTACTGAAAAACCCTGACTTATAACCATTTTTCGCACTTATGACTGTTGCAGCTTCTGCGTGGTCACGTGATCAAAATTCACATGCTTGGCAACTGACTCATATATGACGGTTGCATTCCCCCAGATTCACTTAACAACCCTGTTACTGACTTAACAAGTGCGGTGATTCGCTCAACAACTATGGCAAGAAAAGTCATATAATGGGGCAAAACTCACTTAACAACAACTCTTTCATTTAGCAATAGAAATTTGGGGCTCAACTGTGGTCATAGATCAAGGACTAACCCATACTTTAGGTTTCCAAAGGAGACATGTGGCCAGGTCAAATAATGCATAGTAATAGCATGGTGGCTGGAGAATTCTGGGAGTTGAAGTTCACACGCCTTAATGTCACCAAGGTTGAGAAACTCTGCTCTAAAAATCCACATCCTCCCTGCATTTTTTTCTTTGTTGATCCATCCCAGTCTCCTTTGCTATCATTTATGGTCTTCCAATCTGCAAGTTTCCAACTGGCTTCTGGATAGTCATGGTAGTGAATAGCACTTAAGACTTATATACCGCTTCACAGTGCTTCACAGCCCTCTCTAAGCAGTTTACAGAGTCAGCATTTTGCCCCCAACAATCTGGGTCCTCATTTTACTGACCACGGAAGAATGGAAGGCTGAGTCAACCTTGGGCCTGGTGACACTCAAACTGCTGGCAGCCTGCAGTACTGCATTCTAACCGCTGCATTACCATGGCTCTATAGGAAGGAAAATGAATGTTGGAACTGAAAAAAACACTAGTCTGAGGAACAGCAGCCGTTTAACTTTCTATTTTCCTATCTATAGATCCGTGATGGTGCAGTGGTTAGAATGTAGTATTGCAGGCTACTTCTGCTGACTGCCAATTGCTAACCGTTCAGCAGTTTGATTCTGACTGGCTCAAGGTTGACCTCAGTCTTCCACCGTTCCAAGGTTGGTAAAATGAGGACTCAGATTGTTGGGAACAATAGGCTGACTCTGTAAACTGCTTAGAGAGGAAGCACTGTGACACTTTATATACGTCTAAATGTTATTGCTATTGCTATCTTGGTCTCTTCTATGCCCTATTTGACTCTTAAGCATAGACATGTTCCTGCTGCTTTCCTTTAAGCTTTTATATTCCCCCTTTCAAAAGCCATTTCTTTCACAAGTAGAAACATACAGCAGCTTTATAAAGAAGGAAGGTGAATATACATGTTGCAGGATCCAATCTGGGTTGGTCACCGGGATGAGAGCTTTTGTTTTCCAAGCTTTCGGACTTGGATGTTGGAGCCCATCTTTAGCTATATATTTCCAGGGTAGTTGCTTGCTGTTAGCCTTGCAATGTCTCACTCTCAGGATGTTTTCCAGTTTACACCTACATTGTGTGCACCTCAGCAATATTTAACAGGGGTAATCCCTTTGGCATTAGCTTTGTACCAACCCCAAGAAGTTATAAACCAGCCTTCCCCAAACTGGCTGGTTCTTTGTAGTCTCTACAAATATTGAGATTTTGTGTTTTACAGTTATGGAAGTTACAAGATCCTGTAAAAAGAATTTGCCATTCAAACTCTCAAGGGAGGACTCACCTTCTTTGGACATGCCAACCTCAAAGCACTTCTGTAGGCGACAATACTGGCAGCGGTTGCGAGTCACTTTGTTAATCTGACAGTTCTTGTCTCGGTGGCAGGTGTAGACCATGTTTTTCTGAATACTTCGGCGAAAGAAGCCCTAAAAGTCATAGAGAGAAGAGTTACAAGGGAGCAGGAGCAGGGGTGGGTTCCTGCCGGCATTACTACCGGTTCGGTGCCCGGAAAATTTTGCTACTTCCCTTGGATCTATCTGCAGTACTGGGATGATCATGCTACACAGCCTGTTTTAGAGAAGCACTACCAAATATAACTGAAATAATATTACAGAATATTAGAGATGCTAATTATTAGGATACAAGGGACGCGGTGGCTCAGTGGCTAAGATGCTGAGCTTGTCAATCAGAAAGGTCAGCAGTTCCTTAGTGCCGAGTAACAGAGTGAGCTCCCATTACTTGTCTTCTGCTTCTGCCAACCTAGCAGTTGGAAAGCATGTAAAAATGCAAGTAGAAAAATAGAGACCACTTTGGTGGGAAGAGAAAAGCGTTCCGTGTGCCTTCAGTGTTTAGTCATGCAGGCCACATGACCACGGAGACGTCTTTGGACAGCATTGGCTTTGAAATGGAGATGAGCATCGCCCCCTAGAGTTGGTAATGACTAGCACATATGTGCGAGGAGAACCTTTACCTTTCCTTAAATTATTAGGATCCTAGAGACTACACTTGGAAACTGATCAGTACAAACTGTTCCAACAAGAAGAAGACAAATATAATTATCTTGTTCCAGTGGCAGTACTAGACTACCAATGTGATGTAGTGTTTAAAGTATCAGAATAGAAACAGGAAGATGGTGAATTCTAGTTCCACCTTAGGCACAAAGCCAGCTGAGTGACTTTGGGCCAGTCACTCTCTCAGCTCTGGGAATGTGGCAAGGGACAACCCACCTCTGAAATCTCGCCAAGAAAATTGCAGGACTAGGCCAAGCAATTGCCAGGAGTCAGCACTAATTTGAAGGTATCAAAAAAAGAAAAGAAAAAGCAAAAATAGTGCCAATACTCCAAAGTGAAATCTAACACATCTGGGAAGACATCCAGTTTCTGCCTGGAATTATGCAGATATGTTAAGTGCACCCTTACAATCCAGCTACTGACCTCAGAAACCCTTGGCTGGTCAGGAAATCTGGGTGGCCTTCAATAGCTCAGCTCTCTGATATTATTCAAAGGCCTTGTAGATTTCTGTGCTGAAAACGTAGGTGGAATTTTCTTGCAGCAAACAAACTTCGGATTCCACCAGTGGACTGAAGGATGCAAATCAGTATACATTTGCTTGTTTTGTACATTTCTTCTTGCTTGCATAATCTGCTTTGGGTGTTGGCACGCGGCAACTTGGAATTCCCTGCTGTAACATTCCTTGCCAGAGGAAGGAGGTCTGGGTGAAGTAGCCAACCACACCCTCCTAGCTGAACAGAGGCAGGAGTCATGATGCCTGCCTGAACTCAGGATGTGTACTGTGGAGGCATTTGGGAAATGCAACCCTCCACCTCAGAAACTGGAAAGAAGATGGTGGCCCAAGACCTCCCCTTTGCTTACCTTGCAGCCCTCGCAGGAGCTGACCCCATAATGGTAGCCAGAGGACTTGTCATTGCAGACAAAACAAGGCTTGTAGACCCTTGGGGGTGGGGGTGGAGAAGGAGAGCTGGGCACCATCTCCTCAGAACTGGTACTCTGGGTCTCCACCGCTGTTGGAGGGGAAACAAGAAGATATGAGAGATAGATTTAGATTTTTTATGGGTGTGTGTCAGAAAGAGAGCACAAATAAGTGACAAAGTATTTTTTTTAAATTTTTTCCTAATTAGAAAAATAGATAAAAATCAAACCTCCTAGTCCCGTGATGGGGAACCTACGGCATGTGTGCCACAGGTGGCATATGGAGCCATATTTGCTGGCACGGCAACCCTCAACTCTGGCATACATGTGTGCACCAGCCAGCTGATTTTCAGCCTTCCAGAGGGCTGGGGGAGGCCATTTTTCCCCCTCCCCGGGCTTCAGCAAAGCCTCCAGAGCCTGGGAAGGGCGAAAAATAGGAAGTTCCCAAACCTCCGGTTGGGCCATTGAACTGTTTTTTTGCCCTCCCCAGGCTCCGGAGGCTTTCCTGACATGCACAATTTTGACACACCTTTAGAAAAAGGTTAGCCAACACTGTCCTAGTCCAAAACTTAAAGGGAACATAAAAGGACAATGAAAGAGAATAGAAGAATTAAACTGGGAAGATGTAATGTTACAGTCAAGATGTAATGTTACAGTCTCTTCTCATTCTTTTAGCCCGTAGCATAGAGTTGCATCTGTCTCTGTTTGGCCAGAGAGTATGGAGATGTAGGAAAAGATGAGTGCAGAAAGTCCTCGACTTACAGCAGTTCATTTAGTGACCATTCAAAGTTACAAGGGCACTGAAAAAAGTGACTTATGACCGTTTTTCGCAGTTACGATCTTTCGGGCATCCCCATGATCATGTGATCAAAATCCAGATGCTTTGCAGCTGATTCATATTTATGACCATTGCCGTGTCCCAAAGTCTTGTGATCCCCTTTTGCGACCTTCTGACAAGCAAAGTCAACGGGGAAGCCAGATTCACTTAACAACCGGGTTACTAACTTATCAGCTGCAGTGATTCACTTAACAACTGAGGCTGGACAGGTTGTAAAATGGGGCAAAACTCACTTAATATCTCACTTATCAACATAAACTTTGGGCTCAGTTGTGGTCATAAGTCAAGGACCACCTTCATTAATAGGACCCTGTGACAAAAGGGATGCTCTTCTTAAATCTATCTGGATGTGTTGGCTAACAAAGTCCAACATTTACCTATAAATGTTATCAGACTCTGACTAAACATTTGAGCTGGCAGATGTTCTAAAGTCAAGGTGGATTCTTTCATGAAAATGTCAACCGAAGGCTCAGCTACTGCCCCAAAACACAATTTGATGCTTGAAAGAATTAGGAAGTAAATTGAAAATAGAAATAATAATAATGATGAGGATGATGGTGATGATGATGATGAGCCATAATCGTTGAATTTCAATTTTTAAATCCTGGTATTTCATGATTTTTTCATGTTTCTTCTCGGTGATAGCAGGATTGACGAGAAGGAACATGAAAAAATCGCAAAATACCAGGATTTAAAAATTGAAATTCAACTATTATGGCACAAACCAGCAGTGGTAATTCCAGTGGTAATTGGCACACTGGGTGCTATTCCAAAAGCACTGGAATTACATTTAAAACAGTTAAAAATTGACAAAATCACCATCAGTCAAATGCAAAAAGCTGCACTGCTTGGTTCCGTACGCATATTACGAAAATATGTTATGACATCCTAGGCCCCTGGCTGGGGCCCGACTAGTAATCAATGCCAAATCCAGCGAAACAACTGGCCGCTGTGATGCAATTGTGATAATAATAATATTCACAGCCTTTGGGGCTGGTTGGTAGCTCAACAGCTCAAGTCCTAACCAAGGACCTAAGAACTGTTAAGGTAACATTGGAGGATATAAGCTGTTCCAAGTAAGGTGGTTTTCATTTAACAACCGTGTTACTAACTTAACAACGTAAGTGACTTAACAATTGTGGCTAGAAAGATAATAAAATGGGGCAAAATTAACACGTGTCTCGCTTAGCAACAAAAAGCTGGGCTCAATTGTGATCGTAGGACTATCTATAATACCCCACAATTATATAGGAAATTTCATCTCTGCTATTCTATCTTCAAGAGTTGAAGGCAATACGTGTGTCACCTGTGAGTGCTCATTTTCTTTTAGCCTAATTTGTTGTATGATACCTGGCTGCTTGGGTAATGAGAATATGCAGTCAGTTGTAGAATTGAGTCTGCAAATGGCCATAGCAATTGTATCAGTTGATTTGTATCGCAAAGTAAGCTGCTCAGCCCTCTAGTTAGCTTAATATAACTATTTTAATAAAAGAAATTTAAAAAAAAACCAGTCTGAATAATTCACAAAACACCTCTCCCCACATTTCGGTCTATCCCATTTAATTTCCTCTAATAGTTCACAGGGAAAAGTATTGAAAAGTATTTTCTCCTGCCTATTAAGTCATAAGCCATGGATTTCAAATCAAATGGTTGAGTTCACACATTACACTAAACTGACATTGACCCAATTGTGTGCCTTTTTTTTTTTTTGCTTCACGCAGAAACCCAACGGCAGTTGAGTGCATGTTTTTGGGGAGTTCAGGCTGTTCTCATTTCAATGTACAGATGAGAAAAGTGAAGATGAATTAATATCACTTGCTAAAGGCCACATCAAGGTTGAAGACAGTCTGGAATTTCAATATTCCTGGACTACTTTCAGCATTTTAGGACAGGAGAGCATAAATACATTTCAGGGAGAAATCCACCAATACTGGGGGGGGGGGGGGGGGGGGTTAAATGATTTGTCCAGACTTAGGAGGAGTGGGATAGCAGATGCAAAGAGCTGGTTCGAGTTTGGGTCATCTTTATTAGAATGAAAAGCCTAACTCACATTACTTCTGTACGATGAGGTTCCCTGGGATAAAACAGATGTTCAAAGATTTTTATCCCTAAAAAGTCCATGCCTCTTGCCCTCCTCGTGACCCACGACGCCTGGACAGAGCTCTTTTAGCCCAAACTGCATTTTTCCACCTGCATCCCCCCCCCATACCACCCCCAACCCAGGCAAAGCATAAAACTGTTTGCAATTCTAGCTTTCAACAGAGACTGAATTTCCTGTGTCAAGGCCCTAAAATGCCACATTCCAGGACAAACAGGTTGGAATTGTTACCAGAGCCTTGTAACATAATCCCTTTCCTTGGGTGTGTGGGGGAGGGAAGAAAAGAGTAAGCCTATCCCAAAAGACGAGACAGGGGAGAAACAGCCTTTCTCAGCCCGGAACCCTCCAAATCTGGATGGATGGAAGCTGAAGCCCAGTTCATGGGAAGGGTATCTGATTTGGCTGGCGGTTTTTTTTAAAAAAAAATCTCAACTAATCTATTTCCTTTCAAAGTCCTGCACAAAAAGTGGTTTCCTGCCTCCTGGATGTTGGTGCCCTTTCCTCTTGCCAAATATGAATTAAGGGTAATATAAAACTACTGTATTTATAAAAACAATACATACTTCCCCAATTACAAGCCTTTGATTAATGGAGGTTCTCCGTTAAATATTAACTGCATTCCTCCTCCTTTTCTATGCAATTTTGCATAACTCTTCAATCCACCGGTTTTCAGCTTCTCGGCTACAGATAGTCCTCGATTTACAGCTCTAATGGAGCCCAAAATTTCTGTTGCTAAGTGAGACATTTTGTTAAGTGATTTTTTTTTGCCCCATTGTGCGACCTTTCTTGCCACAGTTGTTAAGTGAATCTGGATTCCCCGTTGACTTTGCTTGTCGGAAGGTTGCAAAATGATCCTGGATTTACAACAGTTCATTTAGTGGTTGTTTGAAGATAGAATAGCACTGAAAAAGTGACTTATGACCATTTTCACACTTATGACCATTGCAGCATCTCCACGGTCACGTGATTAAAATTCACATGCTTGGCAAATGGCTCATATTTATGATGGTTGCATTATCCTGGGCACATATGATCATGAGCCATGGTGGCACAGTGGTTAGAGTGCAGTACTGCAGGCTACTTCTGCTGCCTGCCAGCTGCCTGCAATTTGGCAGTTCAAATCTCATCAGCTCAAGGTTGATTCAGCCTTCCATTCTTCTGAGATGGGTAAAATGAGGACCCAGATTGTTGGAGGCAATAGGCTGACTCTGTAAACCGCTTAGAGAGGGCTGTAATAAAGCACTGTGAAACGGTATATAAGTCTAAGTGCTATTGCTCTCATCTTTTGCAACCTTCTGATAAGCATAGTCAGTGGGGAAACCAGATTCATTTAACAACTGAGCTACTAATTTAACACCTGCCACGATTCACTTAACAACTGCTGCAAGAAAGGTCATAAAATGGGGCAAAACCCACTTAACAAGTGTCTCACTTAAGAACAGAAATGTTTGGGCTCAATTGTAAATCAAATATTGCCTGTATTGAATTACAGAGGGTGTGTTTGAAAACCAGAGATCAATCCTGATCATTCATGTTAAGAAATACTGAACCAAAACATTGGCATTCTTCAAGAAATAGAATTAGGGGCTGCCAGGTGACCTGAGTGGGATAGGACTGTGTGGGGAATACTTGGTTACAAAATGAGCAGGCAGGCTGTTAAAAGCAGGTCAGCAATGAAAGGAAACCCAAATCCTTCTTATCCAGAGTTTTACCTTCCTGCTATCAGCAATCTCACCCAATCCTGGCTCCGGCCCAAACAATATTTGCAAAAGGAAAATAGCCCTTCACAGACACTCCACTACAATAGATAATGAGCGTATACAAAGTCCAAGCAACAAGTATATCTCTTGGGCTTACAGTGATCCTAAAATAAACAAAGTCAGGTTTTTGCCAAACAACCAGTTCCTTCAATATTCAGCATTTAAAATTCGTTTACTATGTGCATTTTCTCTTTCAAATTCATAAATGCACAGTAAACCATTCAGGTCTTGCAACCTGTGGACAGGTAATTGTTCTGCCAGGATTCTTCCACTTAACCTGATTTGCTGAGGATTCTTTGTAAATATTTCTACAGAAAACAATGCATGCAGCCTGGTACTGATCACAGCATTCCTCTTTTTAAAAAAAACCCAATTTCTAGCGGTGATGAAGATGCT